CGCATTTCTCTCTTTTTCAAGTTAACGAGATGCTGGTTTGCGAAAAAAAAAATAAAAGAGAGGAAAAAAGAGAGAGAAAGATGAGGAAGGAAGAAAGAAAGAGAGAAGAATGACGGCTTTTCTTCGACTAATCAGATTGAGCTGATCAGTTTCAAGGTTGCAACTGATTTCGCGATTCACGCGAGTTCAGGGACTCGCGAGACCCGACGGCGAATGAAAATCGAATGAGGGAGAAAATCAAGTGGCATTCACAGGATGAATTCTTCAGCACGCTTGATACATGTCGCCCTTAGCATACTCGTCGGTCGGCGCGTGATCCCCGACGAAGGCATATTCCCTCCCCCTGACCGGATCGACGGACAGACGCCCGCATTTCGATACCGCCGTGGCTGCGATTCCAGGCTAACTAGTTGGCGTGACTATAGCTCGGTCGCGAACCATTATGCAACCCAGTTTCAGAAGTTCAGGAGGGAGGACGAGGCACGAACGCGTTCGTCGGACAATAGTGCAACCCGAGCTACGTGGAGATTGCGATTAATCTTCTCAATTTATCCTACTTACCCTTCGCCCTCCCCCCGCTCACTTCCCGTCCCGATCGACCGGTGAAGTACGCAAGATGCTATATGGTGGATGCTCGAAAGAGACCGAGGGAGGAGAAAAATCTGCCAGATTCCGAAAATTATTCTTCGAAAACAAATCGCGTTTCTCTGACGCGTATCCTTATCCTGCTTGCAACTTCAAAAGACAATGCTGTCTTAAATCGCGAAGGCGGTTAATAAATAAATATTATGTTTCCAAATAAAGTTTTAAAAATTTTCGATTTTTCCGACTAAAATCTTGTTTAATCCTTTAGTTATCAGAACGACGTAGTTTTGCGAGATTCTCTCTAGATTGTTTCTGGCCTCTGATAATCTTCGTTCTTGCGCTCCGTCATCGCGCTTTACGTGCCGATCGCAATTAGTCTTATCAATTTATTTCACCATGCGTTTATAGTGACGCGACGACGGACTTCGGAAATATTCTTTGGTCAGTCTCGATATCTTGGTAATTAGCAGACGGGAATGTCGCAAGAACGATAACGCATCCAACGAAGTTGAAAAGTTCACAATTAATCGAGAATTATTCTACGTTATATCTATTTAAAATGCCTCCAGATATTTTGATAAAGTGCTGCGAGTTTTACTTTCTAAAACTCATTAAAATTTATAGAAATATCAATATTATCAATATTATTGCTGACGTAATTATTTAATGATTTTTATGTGGATAATATAAATATTCATAACGATAAATTTCATTTTATTTAAACGATCACTGACTTTATTATATCGTATTTCCTATTTTTTTTTTTTTATAAATAATGAGATATAAAAGCTTAAATACACATGCAGTAAATAATTACCGTTGATGCTTAGGATTGTTATCACTATTTGAAAAAATGCGTCATATCGAGGCCTGTTGACAAAAATGCAGTCATAAAGATTTTAATTAAGCTCGTGTCTTAGATAAAGTAATTAATTAAGAATGCAACAACAAGAACTGATTGCAAATCTTGGATTTTCCGGCTCTTAATGATTGATGAATGGAAAATTATAAGTAACGAACGTACATTAAAATTAACACTTAGCACAGAAAGCGATTAGCTTCTTCTATCTAATTTGCCATTCCAATCAATGCTGAGCGAAACCTTTGATTTCCAGCGATTTTCGCATTCGTAATCAAGAATACATACGACATGATGATCGATAAAGAATTACACATCTCGAAGATACCGTACTGATAATCTGTATAAACCGGTAATTTAATTTTTTGTCGTCTCAAGCGCGATTTCAAACAGTCCGGGCGCGAAGGAAAAACAAGAAAAATACCGCGTTGGTTGTCACGGTGACGGATGTTCCGTGAAATTGCAATTTGCACGCGTTTTCAACGAGCCCCGCGCGTCAGATCCATTCAAATAATACCCGGCGTAAACGTTACGCTTTATAAACGGAGCGGAGATTCTAAAATGCGGCTGAATGACGGGGAACTATCGTTTCAGTTTAAATTAAATGCGAGGGAATTTCATTATCTCGAAAGTGTCTTGCGTAATATTCGAGGCTTAATCGCTAAGAACTGATAAGCCCCAAATTCGCCGGTGCATTACACGTCGTTCAAATAAAGACCGGGCTTCCGAGACATTACCCGCTTATCAGACATACAGACCCTGCCAACACCAGACACCAGTCCTTACTTTTTATCACTCGTTGTAAATATCCGCGCATTTCTCGGAACCGAAAACCGAGCGAGACGCGGTCGTGAAGAAACACGGAAGGGAGCCTCGCCAGGACGATTTTCCTCGGACGATCGACCGATACACTTACATCGATTACACGTCCGTGCTGCTAAGGCAACCTCGGCTTCGGTCGTGGAAAACGCGCGGACGGGATCGTCGGTCTCGCTCTCATCGCCGGCTAGCCTTGCACTGAACCGTCATTTAGTGCGTTCGTCGCGGTAACAAAATACTCGCGGGCGAGCTGGTAGAACGCGTTTTAGAGGCTCTGCCGGATTCATCAGGGCACACACGCGGCATTTACGGCCGGCAATTCTTTGCCACTTTACAGCGACCCATTAACGATGCCCCCGGTTATTCTTCTGTGGAAACGCCGGATTTACGTAATCCTCCGCGAGAGAAGTGCTAACTTCGGCGCTGAACGCGCCGGTTTTACCGTCGATTCTATATAATTTTCCTCTTTTAATTTATCCTGCCTCTGTTTTTCCTTCCTCCATCGGAATTAATCGATCTTAGGATCTTCCTTCCATTCCAGGAAGGGATTTTAACAAAGAGGGATCAAATATTTTACTCAGAATTTTACTCTCAGAATGCAACTCAGAATTACTTTTGCGTTGTGAGGAAAACAAGTGATGAATCTTTATAAAATCGAAATAATCTAATTTTTCGAGGCGATCGGTCAATTTTTGCGAGTCACCGTTGGATAATTTATAAATCGTTACGTCGTGTTAAGGTGTGACTCGTGCGTCAAGTTTTATGGCATTTATAATTCACATATGCAAAAAATTTTTATCGGCGACCTCGACATTGAAATCTCTTTTTTTTTGACCGTTGTGTAATGACAAACATTACGATACAGAGGCTCTAAGTTACGCGAGCAAACCTAGTGACCCCGTTATTGGAAGAGGTATCTATTGTGTGAAACTCACGAAGATGGAGATAACGTAATGAAACTAACTGGCTTGGTCTGACCAATTAACTGACCCAAGCACGACATAACATTTAACGTATAGTCGCCTGTTCGTATGGCTGTTTACGCCACGTGTGAGTTCGTGTGCGTTCGTGTAAAGTTATATACGTGGAAATCATTTGCTGTTAAAAAAAGATCGCTCGGCGAATCAGTCGTGCCGAGCAATTAACGATATTCCGCGTGACGTTAAAATCACGCAGCTTTTTATCGTTAAATATAAACAAGTTGTGCAAGCGCGTAGTCGTTACGCCGGCGCATAATTTATTTATTGCCACGTATTTATTTTCTTCTCGGGGCGGGCGCGCTCGAGCAGAAAGTTACGACGCATCTCGGTCTCAGAGAATCCAATTTGCATCCTCCGGCATTCATGCTACATTATACCGCAATTTCGCGAGCGCGTCTGACTATAAAGCCGCAAGTTTCACTGAAGAAGGGAACCGAGAGATCCATTATCGCGCGGTATTTCCGCGTGAATCTCTCGGAGGATCGACTTACCTGCGTCCGACAAAGGTCGTCGAACGCATCGATTTGACTCGTCGGCTCTTCTGCCGACCGACGAGACAAATTCCCGCGAGCAAAATTCCCACAAAAGGATCACTAGCGACACGCGAAGTCCAGGACGGCCGAGTTTCCGGGCCGCCCGCCCCTCTCCCTCCCCCCGCGGTGCAGCTCGCGACGGGGGGAGGGTGGAGAATCTGGCGGGTGGTATAAATTTTCTGAGGTTGCGCATCGTGCCCGTCGGAGCCTGAAACTCGCGATGGTGCCCGAGCAGAGCGCAGGTGGTGTCGAAGGAAACCAGTGGTCCTCCGCCCGCCGCGCAGGATCACGACCGTTCAGTCGCGGTCCCGTGTTCGGCGCACGAGTGCGCACTTTATCCCGGCGTGGTAGCGGGATCGTTTGGTACGACGGGGTGAGTTCGCCGAGACGCGACGACGATCGAGTGATTTCGACGTTAGCTCCTGCACGGCGCCTATTTGTACACATCGCGCCTGGGGTTAAAAAGAAAACAGGAAAACGCGGCAGCGTCAACGATTCGTCACGTTGACTTGCGAAGTGAGTTTACTTCGTTTTTACGTGCTGCTCTTGTGGTGTCCGATAGTAGAATACCGAACGCGAGCATAGCTATCTAGAAAAACGTAGATGAATATTTAATGTTTTCTTTTTTTTTATTTTAAATTACAGCATTGTATTTTTTAGTCTTTCTTTTTTTAATTAAAAATATCAAGTTTACAGCTCCTATTCCTACACAGCTTCTGATTTCAATTAATTCAGAATTCGGGATCAATAATTTTATCACGCATTGCTCTCACGTTCTTCGTACACGGAATAAAGTTTTCAATCTACTAAAAAACTAAAAATCCAGCATACATATTCATAGTGCATTGTTTATGCACAATCCTTTCGCCTGTACGTGTATACACGTCGTATGGTTTCTTTTATTTCGCTCGATCGATTTTTTCCTTGACGTTAAACGTTCAATCCTATAAATAAAAATATAAAAAAAGAACTTCTTTTACGTGTGAATTTCAATTTCAAATTCTTGAAATTTAAACTTCAATTTTGAGTAATAAAATAATAAAAAGCTCGCTGTGTGGTGAAGGTGATAAATATGGGGAAAAAATATATTATAAAGCATATTTTCTCTCTCTCTCTCT